AATTTCAATCGCTTTTATAATTTCCAACCCTTCCTAATATATTTTATTATGCAAGTTTTCAATTTGACAGAATCACAACAGACATGCGGAATAGGTCTAGTGGACAAACCACGTTACAAAAAACGCGTTAAGTACACTACCTCATAGGTGGCGTGGAAACGTGTGCATATAATGACGATTACAACTTTTACAACTTTTTGACTCGTCGTATCTCAGAAACGGTGGCTCTAAGAAAAAAAAGTACTGATACATTTTTTGTAGAGAATTTTATGATCTACAATTTTTATCTGAGATTATTTTATGATAAAACTTACCGTTTTCCTGAATATCGCGAAAAACCAATTTTTTTCGAGATTTTTGACCTTTGACCTCTAATAATTTTTTTTCCAGGCATCGCAATCTTTCTGAATTTCAAAATCTTATTTTTAACTATGTTTTGAACAATTACACGCATTTGCATCTTGTTGTAAATGTATGTACCTTCACTCTTATTTTTTAGTTTAATTTGACCGGACTATATAGAAGGAGCCATCCATAAATTCCAGGCATCTATTGAGTAGGTATACTACATTGCCATTGCCTTTGATTGAAGTCAAATTCTAGGTAAAACCAGGATGTGTTATCCGCTATACAGGGTGGCCATAAAAGGTTGTAAATTTTAGAATAATTTTAACAGTGAGAGATTCGACCAGATATTTTCTCGAGAGAATTTATCTGGTTGAAACTGATATGATTCTGCAACGTTACGTGGCTGACGGACTACGAATAAACATGATGCCCCCTATAGTCAATGCCGATAATACCAAAAAAAAAAAAACAATGAGAAAGCTCAGATATCAATCAAACAAGGATAATCACTTTCTTCCTGTCATAAATGCAGGTACATCAGGAACATTTTCAGTTTGCGCATCGCAGCAACGTGTATCACTCCGACCATTGCCATGTTTCTCGCAGTTGTAGACGACACGTCACTCCCAAAAATCTGCAGAGCGTGACTAATGATAAACACGAAAACTACAGGTATACTGTTGACATACTGTTGTCCGGGTTGAACCGCACTTAGAGCTGAACATAGCAAGCATAGAGCTAGTGACGAGACTTGGGGACGAGGGAGATTGCGACCTCGTCCTCGAGTCATGTAAGTACAGTTTCAAGTGATTCTTGAAAATGGCTCCAAAGCAGGTGCCAAAACGTCGAAAAGATGAGAATTACAGACGCAGTTCAATCCGGACAACATTATATCAAATTACTGATATTTTTTTTCCATATTCTCTGTTTCACTATCACTGTCGTCATTTAAATCAATTATGAATTTATTTCCACCATTAATATGAAAGTGCCTAATCTCCATATAGTCTTTTTTAACTGAAATTACTTATTTAATTCATTTCTGCCAGTCTTCTTCGGTGATTAGATACTTCTTCTTTAACTAGCTTTATTTTTACGCCTGATACTTTGTTTCAATTTTCCCCAAATCAACTCGATGGGATTGAAAACACAAAAATAGGGGGGTCTCAGTATGGTGTGGCCATACTTTTCAGCAATACTCTCAAGGGCATACACTTTTTCAAATGTTTTTGTCTGTAAAACGTCAAGTAGTTGGTTTTTGGTATAGCTATCTTCAAAATACAAATTATTATCCATTGAAAACTTTGTATTTCANCCCCTTCTGTGGTCGCTTCTGGTGGATAGTCTGCTTGATGCCCTCGACAGAAGAAAAGTTTATCTGCAAGCTTTTCTTTCTTTTTTTTTCTTCTTTCCTTTTTTTATAATCTTAGTTCTTTGAATTGTATTGTATTTCTAGTTGTGTTACTCTCTGTGTTTCAATATTCAAATGCATCCGAATCTTATTCTCTGGTATCTATTTTTCACACTGTTCACCATCGCTATTGGAATCGCTACACTGGAAAAAGTTGGCGTTTTTATCACACTCGTTAATACTATTAGTACTTGTCCAAGGACGCCACATTTTAAACAGATAACAAAAATTTTAAGTAATTATAACTGCACCAATACCGAATTTCAACACTCAAATCGCGATCAGCTCCTGAACTGAAGATTGACAACACGACGACTATAACCATCCTCGCATTATATTCATCATCGTAACATGACTTCAAATTTAAGTTTATGACTCTTCAGCCAATAATGAAACTCGATTAGTAGAAATCATCCAATAGGAACCGCCAATTCTTCAGTCCTTTAGACTAGTTGGCAGCGACTTTAATTTCTATGTATTGGTTTTTTTGTCTTTGAGAGCGCCGACACCTTTAAGTATGCACAATACCGTTTACTTCGACTATTATTTATTAGACGTCGGCCGTGAAATCGTACACACCATGATTGATCCATTCATGGTCTCATACGTATATGATACTTTTTCAATCAACGACATTTGCTTTCTCTGTTTTAGATCGTTCAAGAAGCTCTAGATAAAGCTAAGCAGGGAAGAACTTGCGTAACAATCGCACATCGATTAACAACGATCCAAGACGCTGACTTGATTTGTGTTATTGACCGCGGAATCGTCGCTGAAGCTGGAACTCATGAGGAACTGCTTAACAAGAAGGGATTATATCACAGGCTCAATCAAGCTCAGAAATAGAAGAGCGTTTTGTGGAAAAAAAACTGTGAATACTATGTTAACAAGACAGGAAAAACAGTGAAAATTGCATTAGATAAAATTAACTTCAACCTACCTCATAGTATATTCGAGATATGACAATTTTTGTTACATGTTAGAATAGGCGGTTTTCCGAAGTAAGAGAAAATTATTGTTGAATTTGTTCGTAATAAATGTATATTTTATGTTTTGTGACTGACATTCCTATACACACGAAATAGTACTCTTTCTCCTACTATAAAAATACCAAATTGGGTGAACCGAAACCCTAAAACAAGGTTCATATGATAATATATGATTTTAATCATTTTCAATTTCAGAAAATACATACATTTTGTAACCAATTTCCTAGTTTCANTACGCAAGTCCTCATTTGTTGTTCTCAGGGTTACGATACCAAGCTAGGCGAGAAAGCTGTACAATTATCAGGAGGTCAAAAGCAGCGAATTGCAATCGCTAGAGCCTTAGTTAGAAATCCCAAAGTTTTGCTCCTGGACGAAGCAACGTCAGCCTTAGACACCGAAAGCGAGAAGGTAAATAATTTTTCAATGGATTATTTAATGTTTTCGGGTTTGATAGTCGTGGTCTGGGGGTTTTTGAGCCTGACTTTTCGTCTGCAACTACGAAGGACATTCTCAAAAGTAATGTGGCAATGGTCAGACTACCTTGTTGGAATACAAAAACTGAAAGCGGTCTTGACGTTTTCGCATTCAGGACTGTTCTACAAAAAATAGTCAACCAATTCAATACTGAACATGGTGTCACGTAAATCTTTTCATTCCACAACTGACCCACTGATTTTGAACAATTCGAAATACTACAAACGTATAATCATAACAAAACTTGTTATAATAACCTCGAAACTCGAGATCAGTTTATCTCTTTTGCAGCCAAAAACAGCATGACAGTTCTAGGTTTATATCAAGGGGGCTATATTATGGTATGCCTTATCTTCTTCACTATAGTGTAGTATCCAACCGAAACTGGTTTTTACGACCGAAACCGAAACCGAAAATTAATTTCAGCAACGGTCTCAGTTTCGGCCGAAACCGAAACTTCCCTACAAGGATTATGTTTTGAGGGAAAAACAAAGAAAAGGTTATTTTGATCAGTTAGTCTTAATTTTTTTATCTTTAAATCACAACGTTATGCAGTCTTCGACATTTTTACTTATTGTTAATCAACATAAAAAACCCTTATTTGAGAAAAATCCCAAAATGTCATCCTTGGCGTGTGTCGATACCTGCAGGACTCCCCAGATCTGCACTGTGAAGTTCGATGGAAGTACCACTCCACAGTCTTCGTGCTCGATTGTGGAAGATGGTTACCGCACACCAAAATCTTGATGCCGCTGGATCTGAAGATCGTTTCCAACATTACAATAGCATCTAGTACCTCATTCATTTAACTCTCTTATTTTCGTTTTGTATAGGGTATTTCATAAGCGCTTCCTATATTTAAAAATAAATAAAAAAGTGTGTGAAATGTCATCGACATGTTTTATTCATTTGAAAAATCTATGTGAGAAATATAACATCGTTCAAAGGTCCGCCCCGGCTTCTCTGGGTGGAGTGCATCAGAAACAACCAATTTTCCATGACTCTGGCACATAAATCAGGTTGAATTTGATCGCTGGCATGGGTTCTGTTGGCTTTGAGGACCGCTGTAGTTTGTGGCTTATTCGCATACACCTGCGACTTAAAAAAACCTCACAAGAAAAAGTCTAACGGGATCAAATCGCATGATCTCGGTGGCCAATTGGCATCACCTCCACATGGGATGACCATATCCTCCAATCGCTCGTGCAGAATATCCAGTATGGCATGAGCTGTATGGCACCTAGCGCCATTCAGTTGAAACCACATGTCATTGATGTCCAGATTATCCAATTTAGGCCAAAAGAAAATTGGTAATCATCGACTTATAGTGCTCGCCGTTGACAGTTATGGCCTGGCCATCGTCGCGTCGTTCCAAAGAAATATGGATCGATGACGGTGCCAGCCCAAAATCCACGCTAAATAGTGACTTTTTCGCGATGCATTGAACGCTCTTGGTGATCACGTGGACTTGTATCTTCCCAAATTCTAAAATTTTGTTTGTTAACTTACTCATGAGATTTCGATGAAAATTAGGGTCAGTTGCCAACCGCTCCAGAGCCCGTTCACGAACACACGTCGTTGTCTATGACCGTTCATCTTCAATTCCTGAGATAGTTGAGTTTTGTACGGGTGCAGGCTCAGGTCATGATGCAAAATTCGCCAAGTTGTGGTCTGCGAAAGGCCGAGTTCTTGTGAGCGATGCGATATCGACTGCCTCGGATTTTGCTGCACGCTCTCACAGACAGCGGTGATGTTTTCGACAAATCTTGTGTTTTGTCGACGTACAGGTGTTGGTCGATCGTTTACTGAACCAGTGGACTCAAATTTATCCACCACATTGCAAATGGGCCTCTCGGTAGGACGATTACGCAACCGTAAAATGGGCGAATTTCATTATTTGCACGTATTGTTGAATGATATATCCATCCATGGTGATTTGGTAAAACAGACTGAATAAATAACAACTAATTTGACATATGTAGCTTCAACAAGATGGCCGTTATCAATGATCAAAGTTCGTAAGTCCCTTTTGGAGGACCCTATACTTTTATGGATTCATTATCGAAAAATAAAACTGAACAGAAGTGGAAAATTAACATTTAATTTTTTCTATCACTCAATGTTGAAACTATCCCCCGGAAGACACGAATACATTTTTTGATTTTCATAAAATTTGCTTACGTTGACCAACATTTATTATTGTTGTTATTTGAATAACACTCGATAATAATTCCACTTCGCGAATCTTCAACTTCAACGAATCTTTACTTTTTAAGTGTTTTGAAAAAAGTCTATCGGTGTAAGACAAGGCGATTCATGTGGTCATTCCACGATATCTCTCGTTCGAACAGGATCAGTATTATTATGTGCGAAGGTACCCCTGTAGTTGATTTCATCGTGGAAGGGTTGCAAATAATCTTCACCATTTAGATTATCGTTGTATCGTTGATTATCGTCAAACGATACCATTGATTTTTTTTTAGTTTCCTGTGTTTCTCAAAATGAACGAGGATTAATGTCGCTCCATTATCGATAGTTGTATATATCCACTTCATCATTCAAATAAAACAAGCACCATTCGTAAAAACAGGTATTGTATATCAAAGTTTCCTTTCGATTCAACATGTTGCTGAAATATTCCCCGAATAAAACACGGCGGTTGAATGTATCTATGAATACATGAATACATCAGACTCGTGCACCATTTCTATAACTCAAGGTATGCTAGTGAGTTGCTTCAAACTTCAGAAACTTCAAAACAAAATTAGGGTTGTGTAGAGTCTCGAGAATAAAAGCAGAAAGAAGAACAATGGTTAATTGCCTAACAACGAGAACCCATCCATCACAAAACGAAAACAACGTCATATAGAGAATAAAAATACTTTTCAATTGAAGTATGGCTCCCTTTTAATATTTTGAAAATATATTTACTCTGGATGCCAGGTGGTCAGGAAGATGCATCGTATGCCATAACAGATAGCTTCTTTGGGAAAACATTTCTTCGCTTTCTACTTCTCCATCCAAATATTGGAAACTTCCGAAGAAAGGAAGAAAGAAAAGAAATTTCTGTTGACTGGTAGAAACTGTCATAATTTCATCAAATAGAACATCGGAAGATGAAGATGTTGCTAAAGTTCGACGACGTTGTTCTGCAGCTTTAATATTTCTCGTGCAATCATCATAGCCATCAAATACGACCGTATTTCTGGCATCAAAATGTCTACGTACATACTGAACGTATTTATCTAAATTAATGCTAAATGTTTCTTCACTATCCCACACAACACGATGTAGTAAGTATCCACCGTCAATGATGTATGTCGTATTAGTATTGTTAATTTCAATATTGACCTGTTGGAAACAATCGTAAATGGTAGACTTCTGTGTTTTACGCATCCCGAGGTCATTAAACGGTAGGGAGTCAATTCATATTCAAAATATTTCTCAATTTCATCTTGAAATGCTGCAGTAATACTCATGCGATGGAACAATAATACAGGGGTTATTTTATAATAAAACTTACCGTTTTCGAGATTTTTGACCTTTGACCTCGAATAATTTTTTTCCAGGCATCGCAATCATTCGGAATTTCAAAATCTTGTTTTTAACTATGTTTTGAACAATTACACGCATTTGCAGCTTGTTGTAAATGTATGTACCTTCACTCTTATTTTTTAGTCTAATTTGACCGGACTATATAGAAAGAGCTATCCATAAATTCCAGGCATCTATTGAGTAGACTACATTGCCATTGCCTTTGATTGAACTCAAGTTCTAGGTAAAACCAGGATGTGTTATCCGCTATACATGGTGGCCATAAAAGGTCGTAAATTTGAGAATAATTTTAACAGTGAGAGACTCGACCAGATATTTTCTCGAGAAAATGTATCTATAGTCCGTTCATAATTTGTCGATAGCACAAAATGAGGGACCAAGTCATAAAACGGTCGTAAAACTCGTAAAATCATAGATGATTCTGTGATGAGCAATTTGGATTCAAAATGTATGTCTTTGAATCAACACTTTGAAAATTTTACTTTTCTCTAAGACTTAAAAAAATCCAAAAGAGCAAATACTGAGAGCAGTGACACCAAACTCCATCTGCTCCGATATATTATAGAGAAAGATTCAGAAGAAATTTACCCAAATGTTTACATTGTCATTCGAATTTTTTTAACAATACCGGTAAGTTCTGTTTCCGCTAAAAGGAGCTTTTCAAAATTAATACTGATAAAAATGTATTTAAGGAATACAATGGGTCAAGAAAGACTTTCAGCTACCAAAAGTAGAAAATTTTTGTTTCTTCAATTGAAGTAAAGTGAGTAAATAGCCACAGTATCAGTGACTGGCTGGGTTTTTAATACGGCGACCTAGCCAGGATGTTAATTATCAAAGCAGAAATAATAATGATAACGTTAATTCAACAACATTTATAAAGTATGCTAAAGGAGGGTCGAATAGACCCACTCACTTTAGACCTACCTACCTACCTACACTTAAACCAAGAAATGTTATTATATTTTCACAAGTTGCGGATAGGATACAATATTGGCGCATTCTTCATAATTTATCATTCATATCAGGCTTAGGCACGAAGAAAGATAGAGATAGATAAAGGAAGAAAATGGGAATCTGGATCAGCTGAAAAGAAAAGCGTAAAGAGCTGTATCCAACCAGGTTCAAATTTCAGGTATAATGAAATTTCTCAGTCAGCCTAAATCTGGTATTACTTAATGAAATGAATCGGTTGCTTCGATTACTCAACAACATGTATCATCTGTATTCGAGAATTCGGAAATCACTCCAGATGCACCGATTATTGATACTGAACAACGAAAATCGGAAACAGAGATAGAATCAATAGCTTGCCAATCAAAACCTGATTCTGAATTTTTTGTGTTCACGTTGAATTATTCTTTATATCAAGGACAAAACATAGGATGTGTTGCCAGCAAAGCAATATATTGGATTCTTATAGTATCGTAAAACTGAATATTATATTTTTCTCGTTACCGTTAATACTAAATACAATTTCAGTATGACTCCAATCAGTCAAATAACTTCTTAACAAATAACGAATCATTTTTCTCTCTTCATATGCGCAAAATTTTCAAAATGATATGTGAAATAGGATTGAAGTAATAACTGTACATAGACTCATATAGAAAATAAATTTAATGCTTTCTTATAAATTTCTATAAAGAAACAAATAGAGTATTACTAAGGTTTATAAAAATGATTGTGCATATTGTGAATGTGCACAGTACGAACTTTGATTTTAACAATTTTTTTGTGTTCATTGAAATCATTTCCACTACTTTTCTCATCATTTTCCTCCATAGAACAACTTTCACATTCAGTTTCCATATCAGGATCGTGAAATAGAATGGCATTCATTCCCTCGAATTGCATATTCCTTTTCTTAGGGTTCCGAACATCGGAACCATCATCACCTGTTTTATCTTTCGCTAGAAACTGCTCCGACTTTTCCGAGCTCCTTAAAGAGCTATCGTTTAAGGAGTTTTGCATAGAAATTGGGTTCCGATGTAGACCCTCAGTATCAAGATCATTCTCAAAATCCAGAGATGTCGAATTTTCTTTAGATTTTTCCGAAATAGTATCCAAATTCAACGACGCTCGTCTGTCAATATGTGAAGTTGATGGTTGGTTCAACATCACAGGGACGTTCATGTCGTCCCTCAGATTTTGCAACATCTTCAGTTTGTAGCTCAGAGGCCCGGGTTTTACGGCCGCTTGTCTTTTGTGATTACCAGTCGTTCTTCGTCTATAAAGGTCCACGTTATGTTCTCGACCGCTATCGGCATACACTGACAAATTGTCCAAGGTTGAGTTAGCCCTCTGGTTGTTGGTAATTGGCTTAACGAAATACTTATAACTGGTAGGAGTTCTAGATATATGCAACGGTCTTGGCTGTATGGAGATTGAAGAATTCTGTGAGCTAAGTTCAGAATGTCTCTCCATTAGCGTCTCGGCTGTTAGTAGCTTGGCAACTTGAGAATCAGTGACGTCCAGTCTTTGCACTACAACCCTTGGTTGCCAACAATTTGTGAATGTTTCTGTTTGAGTAGAAAATTCTCTGCTGTCTTTTCGTGAATTTACTCTGCCACGTCCTCTTGCCATTATAACAAGTTCAGTTTTTTAGTGACATTTATCTTGGTGGGTTATAGCGGATTCTCCGATTTAACATTGACACTAATGACAATTTCCTATAGATGACGGAACATGTTACGATTATGCCAAAGCCCACTATTGCTAACAAGGAGCACTAGAGATATCCTGAAAATTTACAAATCACAGCTAATAATAAGCCCTTAACCTTAACCGGCTATAAAAATTATATTAGTTATTTCATCATTATTTGTCGAGTGTCATCATCATCAAATAGGTACTCAAACCACAAATATGAAACATAAATAAGTTACAAAGCCTTATAGTATAATATCTGAATTAGAAACAACCTCCACCCTTTTGTTCAATCGATGATAAATTTTTTATATTGAAATACATATTGCGGGTGGGTTGGCTGAAAAAAATCTTGTCCAGACTATAGTTAATAAAAATTCAACAATGTCTTTTTTCAAACATATTACACTTACCTATTTGAAAGGTAAAAACTGGAACCACTAGCGTAGAATAAATTCAAAACAAACACTGTTCTCAAACACTACAACTACAATACTCTTTCCGATGAGCGTTTTACCAATCAAAAAGGGCGTCTTCAGAAAAATATCTACTTCATCTCCTAAAGATGATAACTTGGTTGGCGTGTTGAAGTTATAATGTTTGGTAGCAGTAGATACTTGTTCTTGATATTACATTAATTTGTTTAATAAACAAATTTCATAACGATCAAAAGTATGGAGCCTGTAGAATATACAAACCTTGGGATGTCTATTTGTTTGTTTTCATAACTATTGGTTTGAGGTAGTAAAATCAAATTGGGCACTATTCATTGTGAACACGATGATATAGTGAAGAAACTTTGGTCTAAATGGTTGGTGAGCTTGAGAAAGCGAAATTTTGATACAGTATAGACATGCAACAAAGAGGTCCAAGTATATCACGTACGAGAGAAGAGATTACAGCTTTGTAACTGCATGCTATTTGTTCATGTAATTGAGAAGGATGGCCATAGACGAGTGAATACTGAGCAATAACCTTCTTATTAGTCAGTGAGCTATGCTTGAAGACTGGCAGTAAACAAATCTAAAGAAATTAACTTTAAACGTTCAATTCAGTCTCGAATATACCTACACAGTAGGTTGAATGGACTGACGCCTATCAGAAGACAACTACTCCCCTGGCTAATACCATGAAGGGCGTTGGATTATATCCGCCCTTCTGCAAGTGTGCCCGTTCCAAAATTGAAGGTCGACTCTTTCAGTTGTATTATATCATATATAATAATGTAGAGTGATGTACTATTCATTTTATTATCCGTGCTGCAATCAATGAATGCTTCATTATGTTTATTTTTCCAAGACAGACATTTTTTTATAACATAAGTCACTGATCTAGCGTCTTCATTTCAATCAGGATGGAGTCCAGCTCCCTTACACTTTTAGCTGAATATTGTCGAAGAAGGACAAATGGGTTCATGACTGAGGGAATGTTGGCGGAATGAAGTCCTCAGACATCAGTACCGCCCTTCACGGAATACCCCTACCTGGCTGGGGTGGGATGGATGAAAAAGCTATTCATCCGTTAACGGGGGACATGAGGGCCTCATTCGACAGAGTGTTGAGGCGTTCTATATCGGGAGGGGTCGTCTACAGCATAATCTATAGCTTCCCTAACTAACGGGATAACATAAGTTATTGATAATTGACCTTATTAAGTGATGCGACCTCATGGTTGCCAACTGCGGACAAATAATGACATTTGATAATAAATAAATAACCTGTTTTTCTGAGTTCCTTCTGCATTTTTCATTTTTGATAAATGAGAAACTGATTTCCAGAATATGGCCGAAAAGAGATTTCCAGTCGTCCTATATAAAGTTGGGGCTCCAGAATGGAGAATCAGCTATGAAGAAATGTAAGATGGTCTGTCTCAATTACGAAAAAACAACTTCATCGACATATTTTTTAAAGTTTCTCCGTTAAAATAAATTACAGAATCATCCAAGTCACACAAAAACACGTATTAGTAATTTTTCGTAACGATATATTAAAATAAACAACGATACAATGTTTTAATGACACAAAACATCTGGTTTTTCACCGAATGTATAAAAAACGGATTTTATAATGTTTAGTGCAAATCGCACAATGAACTGTTTCTTGAATGAGATGTAGAGGAACAGGAACAATGAGAACTGTACTAACGGCGCAGCGCAGCACCCACCCAACCGGTATACGATCCAGGTTGGGTCACAATCCAGTCTTTCATATTTATATTACAGACGATAAAACTTCCGTCTTGTATAAATATAATTGTTCCTGAGGTAGTTTCCTTCTTGTATCTCAAAATTAGTTCCTTATCTGTTAAGTTTCAGCTTTTTGGATCAATTTCCATTTTCTCTTAACCTGTATCAAATAACATAACATTCGAATCATGTTCCGATTAGACACGGAGTATATAAATTTGTCAGAACGACATTTGGAGTTTATGTTTTGTGATTCGATTTACTCCCTAACCTCACTAACTAACCTCATTCATTATGAATGTAAACAAAACAAGATTGCTTAAATAATTGATTTATAATTCAAAATGTTAGAAGGGTGGTATTGTCGGTCCATAGCAAATGAAGCTGCTGCAGCTGAAGAAGAGGAAAGAGCAGTAGAAGAATCCAAGTTCAAGAAAGAATATAAGTATTTAAAGAGAAAATTTCAAAACTTAGTTTATGTAAGAGGAGCAAAGTATGTGTAATTCATGCAGTAAATGTGTAATTTTCATTTGTAGGAAAATGAGGCTTTTCAGCAAGCCCTTAGGTCGGCCCAAAAACGACTGTTGATGGTCACGAGAGACCGAACGTTCTTGTTAGACAGGTTACTAATGCATGAGAAAGTTGATAACAGTACATCAGAATCAGAAGAAACTGAATCATCAGATGATGGAGAGGTTGTCAAGATGGAACTTCTCAAAAAGTAAGTTTTTATTGTTGGCCAAACAATGACAGAAATTCAGTGTCATTCATGATTTTTAGAAGGAAAGATGCAGGATCCCATTCTAGCCATCACCATACGAATTCTGGTAAGGGAACGCCAGCAGTGAAAAGAAAAAGACCCACAGCTCCTAGACCTCCGAAACATGTCCCTCAGAATGTGGTAAATATAAATTGCTAACATTTCTTCACCCAGTAATTATTTGGTTTCTCATATTACTAAAAAGAATTATCTGTTTTCTGTTGAACATGAATCAGGAGTCAAAACGTGATGCTTCAGTCCACTGTTTCACCAAATTATGAAGTCGAAATATGCAAAATTTGTGGCCAAATTTGAATTCCACTTAGTACTTTGATATCAAAAACAATACCTGTTTTAAATCTTACTTTCTTATTCAGTAACACATTAATCTTGCTTTCTTCTGATGTCAATTTCTAGTTTTTTGGTCTAGTGTCATCTTTTGCATTCTTCTTGATTTTTTTATCACCCTTTTTTTCATTTTTGTGCCTTTTGCTGATTTTTTCACACTCTCTTTAGAGCCTAATATTTTGGTGGCATCTTTTGTAATATTCTTTATTTTTTCCATAAACTAGCTGATTCTGGATGACCATTATATAATTTTTTTGACAATTCGAAAAAAACCCACAAATAATCTGAAACCTAGCAAGGAATACAATAACACTCTGTAGCCCATTCCGATTCTAACAAAACTAATTATCATAAGAGAAAATACAAAATCTCTTGAGGTTCATATTGACAAAATCATTTTTTTGCACATTACATAAAAGATATACCTGTGACATTATGATTTATCTATAACTAACGCCTTGTAAAGAAGGCGTTCAAACAGTTGTACTACAAAATGGAATAAGTCAAAATAATTTACAGTAAATATATTAATCAAATGTTAACACATATGTTCAGGAACTGCACAGCCAAAAAAATTTTTTGAAAATACCTTCTGAATTGGAGCCGTATTAAGTCAAAAAATATCACGGAGCAGGTGAATCTTTGGAAGCTCTTGCAATAAATATAATAAAGGACTTCGGAAAAATATATTTATTGTGTGAAAGCTAGTCAGATTTAATTGATGTTCATTGACATTCTATTGAAATTATCCATGTGTTTTTCAATTTCCATTGCCTCTCTACTCTTGGATAGTTATTTTGATTTCTATCGAGTATTACTGTATCTTCGAATGAGATATAGTGAGTGCCTTCTTTGTTGAGAGCATGTTCAGCTACAGCTGATCCAAGTCGGCAATTTCTCTTATGTTCAGGAGGACGGATACCTACACTTTTCTTGATTCCAATGTAGACCAACCCGACGCTACAAGGAATCCGATTTACCACGGGTGTTGCTAAAGGTTCTTTTGGGTCCTTAGCTGAATTTGTCCGACCTTTGATTTATGCTGATCTAATAGTAATATGTCTTTCTCTTTAAACTCCAAGTATTTTCTATTTCATCACATTGACTGATTCACTGTTATTCATTTCATCAGCATTTGCAGATGCCTTCTGCTGGCATTGTTCTCTCAGATGGTCACATGACTCCGGAAGAAGTGGAAAGACACTTGCAGTCACAAAGTTTCATGGAATTCGTCCCCGAGAGAGCACCACCAACGGTTCCAACAGAAATGTTCAGCAACGAACCATCTTTAGACAGGTATGTTGTAAGTGCTGAGTATACAGGATTGAAAGCATCGTGAGTACTAAAATTATGCACAAGATCATGATTTGTTTTTTGTTTCAGTGAATCAAATGACATTGGAGAGCTAGAAACGTCACCTAGCAATATGGGCGAAGAACTTAGTATTGACATGATACCAGAATAAATAATATACTCAAATAGCAAACTATTTCTCCTGGAAGTTTTACAGTTTTTAAAAACGAACCTAGGGAACAGACGGATTTTTTGTTTGTGTTAAAGATGATTTTTATAAATTAATTTATATCTAGGACATATTTTAGATGAATGAGAAAAAATGTATCTGTTAAGGTGAGCTAGAGGGGCATGTTCTGTTCTTTTGAATAGAAAACACAAATGTGTGGATATAGTATCTGATAGTATATGTTTATGACGTTAATATTGATTTGCTGAAATCCTCTTGTGAATATAACAGCTCAAAATATCTTCCTTTATGAAAAAACATAATTATAATAATAATAATAATGAATAAATTGTTAATTTCCCAATAGAATTCACCCATTTATATGATCCAAAACAATCGGTGTTCCTAAACACCTGAACTGCAACACTTTTCTTGATGTACGTTTTGACAATTGAGTTGGCGTATTACTATCAAATTCAAGATTCAATAGCGAAGCATATGAACCAATATACATAAAATGTATTGATTACATAAACTATTCATGGAGAGATTTTGATTTGGAAAATATTTATTTTGACAATGATTCAGATTTATGAACAGAAGCCTTCATGATGAATTATTACTTTTACATTGAAAGGAAAAAAACCAGTAAATGTTTCAAAAAATGTCACTTCAAAAAAACCTTGATTTCCTAAAGTTCAAGAAATCAAAAATAATATCAATTCCTTACAAACAAAGATAATAAAAATAAATAAACTCGTATATGAGTCTTTCAAGAATTTCTTGGAATCTTTGGAAATGTGTTATCACAAATAATGAGCATTCTTTAAAAGACATTTTTTGGAGATGACTCAACGCTTCTTGCCATTTCATGAATCATTGAGCTCACTTTGGTTAGTCCTGTCATCATTATTCAAGTCAACGTTGTTATCTGTTTGAAATCTGTTTTTTTCCGTTAACCGGCTGTCACACCCTTACGAACGACAACCCTCAGAAGTCCAAACTTGTGCGAGCTAAGGATTAACGAGGTTTTACCTTCTAACGTGTGGTTCCTAATACGGATATGGGTTGGATGATAGATAGCAAGTGAAAATCGATCGTTCAGACTATGGTTTGAACCAACAAGGCAGTCAATTCGAGTGAGTGAACAAAGCACCCACGTCGAACCACCTGGTTACTGACTGACCGAATCAACTGTGAAATTAATTTACCTGTTAATTGGTATCTTTTTAAGAACAACATTGCTCTGAGAATTTACAGAGAAGTAGCCAAGTAGGCTATTGTATACATAAAATTTGGAAGGTGTATATTTTATACCTGGGTACATAGTCAATGAACTGTTCTTAATGTTATTTTTGAATAAAAAACTGCTGTGAGATATAATTATTAAGTCTTTTTAAATGTTTCCAAAGAAGAATTAAAATATTCTAAATCTACATTGTATGTATTTGCAAGTCTCAAATTTCTATCTACAGTTTCATTCCGGCCATATTTAGTGCGACAAAAGGGTACTTTGAAGATTTCCGAATTTCTTGTTCTCCTTGGATTCACATTTAAAGTTATAAATTCGACAAGTTCTGGGGAATTGATGCTACCATTGATTAGTTTATGAATTAGTGTTAGCCAGAGTATTCAAGTTAAGAATGTCCAATATAATTTTATAGTATATTCACCAATATGATATCCCAGTCTATATGCAGAATACCTTAAAAACTTATTTTGAAAACTTTCAAGCATATCAATATTCACATGATATGAAGGGCACCAAATTGTGGAATTGTATTCGATTATTGATCTAACAATTGAACAATATATGATTTTCATTAAAGTGAGAGATAATTCAGTTCTGATTGATTGATTTTATATGGCCAGTTAATGGGATTTTTGTTTCGGAAAAAAGTAAATTTTTGACATTTGTCTAATTGCAGTAGTTAGATAAATCGTACTGTAATAATTTTGTATCAGTTGAGTCATGAATAACTCTAAACTTCTTCATGTCATCAGCAAACAAAAGAAATTCACTCTAAAGAATAACATCTTTCAAGTCATTTACAAATAGGTTGAAAAGCAATGGCCCTAAATGGAGAACCGTGTGGTACACCCGATGAAACTGGATTTTCAATCCATTTCAGAATGTTTTCTTGAATACCCAAAGCGTTTAGTTTATGCAACAACGAATTGTGGTTTACTCGGTCAAATGCCTTTGAAAAATCTGTGTAAATAGAATCCACCCGGTGCCTATTTTCGAAGGCATTTATTATACAATGTTGATAAATTAGCAGATTTGTACTGGTAGATCTATCACTACTGAATCCATGTTGTTGATTAATGATTATATGTCTACAATCCCATGTTGATGTTATTCTCTATTTTATTTATGTATGCTTGATGGCAAGTTTTTCTCAAAGCTTTGCACTTATCTCGCAAATAACTTTCATATTCATAAAAATTTCCATTTTTGTATTCTCTGTGAACCGATTTCTTCTTGAAAACTATTTTTTTCAGCTCAGAATTGAACCATATTGGGAAAGTAGAAGCTTTATATTTTTTTAGTGGAACATAGTACTCCAGAGCTGTATAGAGAATATTGTAAAAATTTGTAACTACAATATTTAAATCCTCATCCTTCAGTATTTCGGTATCCCAATTGATACTTGCCAAGAAATCATTCATGCCTATATAATCTCCATTTACAAAGTCATAAAAGTATTTATCATATTTTAGATATTCCTTTGTATCATTTTTTAAATCAAAACATACCGAAGAGTCATGTAATGTATTTTGAAAAATTGGGTCCGATGGATTTTGAACAGACATATTTATGAATGATGAAAAATTTAAATCTAAGTAAACATTTCCTAAATAATGGGAACTAAATGAATGTAATAAAGCTAGTGCAGGTGAGTTTTCTGGACAATCAACATTCAAACCAAGCTCTCCATTAAACAAAAATGCGTCAGGTATATTATAGTCACCACAAAGGATAATCTTGCTAGTACAGTATTTTTCTAAAATATAATCAACGGTAGCAGTATGTTCCATATAAGTATTCACTACAGAAGGAGGAATATATACACCACCGATAATGAATGTTGAAGCACCTAAGGATAATTTAACATACAGATGTTCCATATTGTCAAGGGATATGTCGATTAACTCAGTTATTAAACATTCTCTAATGGCTATTAGTATTCCTCCTCCTCTTTTTTTATCGCTATTTGTTTGGTCTCTATCTAATCTATATATGTTGAAACCTTTTAAACCCAGTTCACTATCGGAAAAATCTCTATTAAGCCATGTACCTCACCTATTTTAAGTATTTTTAAGGTGCCATTAATATTTTTTCTTAAATAAGGGTTTTTTATGTTGATTATCAATAAGTAAAAATGTCGAAGACTGCATAACGTGATTTGAAGATGAAAAAAATAAATACTAACGGATTAAAATAACCTTTTCTTTATTTTTCCCTTAAAACATAATCCTTGTAAGGAAGTTTTGGTTTCGGCCGAAACTAAGACCGTTGCCGAAATTCGGTTTCGGTCGTAAAAACCAATTTCGGTCGGACACTAGTACTACGTCTACCGCAGTAGTAAGCGAAACGTCAGACATGAAAACCTGCAGATCACGACCAGAAAAAAACGGAAAGTAATCAACACATTCATCATAATATTTTTAAATCATTAAGCAGAAAGATCTCTGTCCATAACCAATTGAACAAATTGATAAATGGCTCGAAAAAATGAACTTGTTATCATTATTATTACTATAAGGTATCTTATTTAATGAATAATATATCATATAAGCAACTCGACTGAAAATTCATAATTCGAAATGTATAACTGAAATCACATTCATTGAAATCTAATGTTATTTATAAGCAACTTCATAAGATAAAAACAAAATGCCGATTCCCAATTCTCATCTCCTTGGACCATGGCATTTGATAGGCTTCTTAGGAGTAGTATCTGTTGATTTCTTGATCGACTTAATTCTGAACTTGAAGGGTAGTTCTCCATCTCCGTTCAAGTAGTTTTTAAGTGTTGAAAATGTAATTACAACGCATTTCTCTTGATTGAAGATGGCTTCTGTGTCGGCAGTGTCATTTTGACATAACTCGATTACTTTATACTGACGTACAGGGCCACTGTGGATTTCAAATTCATAGAAATAATGCAGAGCTTGATCAAGCAATCCAATCATCTGAAAAGTCCAGTAAGCCTTTTGTTTAGCAGTGTCAATTTTGTGCTTATAAAAAAAGTAATTCTGGCCGTTGAAAAATGAGATGATCTGCAAGTCATAGAAATCCCTGGTCAAATCAATCTTCATATTAGCTTCGGTGCTATACTGCATAAAAGTTTGTGGGTTGTGGGCGTCTTTAAAATGATTATATATCTCAGAATATTCTCCTGCCCAGTTGCATTTCCACTTGGCAAATTTCTTTCCTTCGCAATAGTATTTTCTGAACCTGCACTCTAGCTCGTGGGCTTCTTTCTCCTGGGTTGATATGATATACTTGCAGCCCTTATCTGCATAGCAGCATTTCAACTTGAGGACATCCTTGATGCCTTCAATTAGCTGCTCCAACTGATAATTTCTTGTATTCGATATAGGTCCTCTACAACAAGGGCACATGGTAATTCCGGAAGATTTTATGCATTCACCACACATGCTATGTCCCCTCTGACACTGAATTATGGGAGAAGTCATTGTTTCCACACAAATGGGACACAGCATCAATTTATCTGCTTGTTGGTTTTTAACAGACATTTTGAGAAATTATCTGAAAGATATAAGTAGACTTTTTTATTAAGATACATTTCCAGTTCGAAAAATATCTATAAGGACAATAATAAATTTACCTTCTTCTCTAGAAGCCTCTGGGAATCACTCAGATCTTCAGTTCATCCGCTTTGTGATGATCAATCTCCAATAGGAATCCAATCTTGGTACAGTTTGACAAATAAAACCTACAAATCTTATTGTTTGCATTAACGATAATACATGTTATATTAGAAAATGTAAATATTCATAACATCTATGTTTATATATTTCTAATTTATTTATCTTTGTTCCACTCAATAGACAACTCTAGTCTTGATAGACAAAACAAATTAAAAAACGCAAAATGCTTCTGTGATATAAATGATATATGGTGTTCTGTGAATAAATAGAAGTAAAGTCTCGTGGTTCGTTATGTTTATCCGAACTGTGTGAATACCGTACGGTCACGGTATTCAAGTATGCAATAAGTCGCTAATTCTCGTTCTCATCTAATTATTGAATCTCTGCCGCGGTTCTTTGCTTGTGTAACAATGAACGCGATCGCGATAATCATTCGCTCCGCAAGCTATCATGGATATTTTTTGGCATATGTATTACACCCAATATATAAAAATATGGACACTTTTTTGAATTACGACATTATTTTTTTATAAATGAAAATGACTGTATTGGTCGATTTTCATTTTGGAATGAAAAATGTTTCCTATTTCATTTGAATGTTTTTTCCTCAGGTTCGCGACTGGAACGTTCTAATGAAGGAGCGGTATTTCCTACCTCTATTTCAAATTTGTCACTTTGAGAGAAAAATCGAAAGTCTCTCTCTGTTTTACAAGTAAAACTGAGGGAAACATCCGATTTTCCTATCGATATGAAAGTGCGCCTGATTTGAAAAGAGACCCCTGGAGTCTAATTTTCGAATTATTGAAAGCTTCTTTCGATAGAAACTGATGTCATATTTAAGATTCCTAGAAACAGTCATATTCAAATAACTGCCAAGGATCGAAATAGGCCCAAGAATATCAAATTACGTCATTTGGCGCCTCTTCCTGAAGAAAAAAATTCCCGTAAATGGAGAATTAGGTTCTAGATGTAATCACTTGGACCCCTTCCCTTTGTAAAATATCTTGTCGAAACTTCTCGACCTACGGAACTCTTGATATAGAGTTTTAATAAATTTCAGTATTCCATTCATGTAGGAGCTGAACATACTTCAAGGAGCATTATTTGACAATGTTGAGTTGGCACGTCGATTTTCAATATCGTTTGCATTTGAAAATAAATTAATATTAGGTGCAATTTACATTATGGTATATACATTAAAAATTATACTCCATCTATAAAAATATCAACAAAGTTTCGTCAATCTCATTTCTCGGGTCTCGAGTTTTTGAAAAACTCAAATGCAAGGTTATGATTTTTTCAATGTCATTGTCAATGTCAATGTTACAACCGTCAAATCCCAGAATAACTATTCTGTCACAGTATTTCTGTATATATATATAGTATACTGTGATTCTGTGGTCAAATTTCTAAGTGTTTCTGATAAAATTGGTAGGTTTTCTATTTAAGAGAAATAGTTTATTGATTTTGAACTGCGTGAATACGTTTTTATTGGCCTTGACAGTCATATTTTAAAATTGTACGAAATGGATAATTTAAGGTGAGGTCTATAACGTTTTCCTATTGATATTAATTCTTATAGTTTCCTTAGACTATATATATCTACATACAATGTTGGTACAAGTAACCCCGATCAGGAACTGAAAGAATTGTTTGCTCTGTCTGACCAGAAAAATGAAAAGGGTCCTGATTTTTTCATTTTGGGATTTCAAGAGGTGAAAGCCCAACCTCATAATATGGTGATGGATTCGCTTTTCGACGATCCTTGGACCTTGGCTTCTAAGGAACTTCTTCAAAGGGACTATATCAAACTGAAGTCTGTTCGATTGCAAGGATTACTACTTCTATATTATCAGAAATTTTACATTTATACTTACATGTGGTAAACCATGAAAGTAATCCTTTTCCTTATCACTGTTTTTGCTCATATACTTTTGAATGCTTTCTCATTTGTAATATTTATTCTGATAAAACTTATCATGATTGTACAATAAAAATTGCTACCAAGTAGTTTCAATTACACTTTGTGTACATTTACAATGCCACTCATATTAAACTCTTTAAAACATAAAAGGGGATCCTAAAAATATAAATATTCAAATTGATTGCTTCAGAATATTTCATGAGAATCAATTTGGTACAAATATCAATCTCATACTGCCTCTCTCAGTATGAGAATTGATATTTAAGAGGCAACATACTTAGTGTAATATAGGTGCCCATTTTGTGGCCCCTTCTTCATGAAATACCACCAAACTTAAATGAAAAGGAAACAAAGAATTTGTGGAAATATAAAAATAAATAATAATGACAACAGGAGAGTTGAAAAGAGCCATGCAAAAAATGCAAATAATAACAAATCAACATGTTTTCCAAGGTGCTTTTATAAATAATCATTGATTACATTTTTCATTCAATTCACGACATTCCAGTTCAAGTCGAGTTAAATTTTCATTAATTATAATGAACCATCAGTTTACCTTCTGTGGGGAATTGTGCAGTTTATATATTTACAGTACATTTATTAACTGATTCAAGTGGAAATGAATATATAAATCTAATTTAAAGACAGCAGGAGGCTAGAAGTTTATATAGAGTTTTAATAAATTTCAGTATTCCATTCATGTAGGAGCTGAACATCCTTCAAGGAGCATTATTTGACAATGTTGAGTTGGCACGTCGATTTTCAATATCGTTTGCATTTGAAAATAAATTAATATTAGGTGCAATTTACATTATGGTATATACATTAAAAATTATACTCCATCTATAAAAATATCAACAAAGTTTCGTCAATCTCATTTCTCGGGTCTCGAGTTTTTGAAAAACTCAAATGCAAGGTTATGATTTTTTCAATGTCATTGTCAATGTCAATGTTACAACCGTCAAATCCCAGAATAACTATTCTGTCACAGTATTTCTGTATATATATATAGTATACTGTGATTCTGTGGTCAAATTTCTAAGTGTTTCTGATAAAATTGGTAGGTTTTCTATTTAAGAGAAATAGTTTATTGATTTTGAACTGCGTGAATACGTTTTTATTGGCCTTGACAGTCATATTTTAAAATTGTACGAAATGGATAATTTAAGGTGAGGTCTATAACGTTTTCCTATTGATATTAATTCTTATAGTTTCCTTAGACTATATATATCTACATACAATGTTGGTACAAGTAACCCCGATCAGGAACTGAAAGAATTGTTTGCTCTGTCTGACCAGAAAAATGAAAAGGGTCCTGATTTTTTCATTTTGGGATTTCAAGAGGTGAAAGCCCAACCTCATAATATGGTGATGGATTCGCTTTTCGACGATCCTTGGACCTTGGCTTCTAAGGAACTTCTTCAAAGGGACTATATCAAACTGAAGTCTGTTCGATTGCAAGGATTACTACTTCTTGTTTTCAGTTTACGAAAACATCTTTTGAATATCAGAGACATGGAGTCAGAGTACACTAGAACGGGGTTAGCGGGAATGTGGGTAAGAAAAATCATGCTAAATATTACATAAGACTTTAAGATGAAGTGTACTCTCTACAGAATAAATTATTTTATGGAAGTTTGTTTTCAGAAATGTATCGTGAATTTTCATGAAGTAACTACCTCATAAGTGCCTGTATATGTAATCTAAAAATATCAATTACTTTGATTTAATTATATTGTCCTTTGCACCATATAAAGGAAACATCTATCATACTGAGCTCATTATGTTTTAACCTCTCACTATATTTTTTTCTTAGGGTAACAAAGGTGCTGTAACAATCAGACTCAGCATTTACGGATGTTCTATATGCTTCGTAAATGCCCATTTGAGTGCCCACGACAACCAACTGAAAGATCGTGTAGAGGATTATAACAGTATTATTCAGGAACAGGAATTTCATGTGGCAGAAACTTCCAAAATCTTCTATCATGAGTAAGATATGGCAAAACCCCATATATACAAAGTTGTAAACGAAAATGAGTAACTGGTTTTTGAATTGTGCTTTACATCATTTTGAACATTTTAAAAAGTCATTTTACCAATTTCATCCTCCAATGAATAGTGACCAGCAATATGTACGAGATCTGTTGAAAAAATATTGTGAATTTTAATTTTTCTGAAAAAATATATATCAGTTTCAATTTTGGCCCCTTTAAAATACCGCGTTTTTTCCAATCCTCAAACCAGTTCTGATATGCACTGTTTGGTATGTCCCTGAGCTCTTTCAGCGATTCGGTTTTCATCTCTCCAATCTTGATAATTGTCATTCCACAATACCAGACGCTTTCTTTGTATTGCTTCTTGCAAGCGGCCCATAACTTCAAGTAATATTCCTTATTGACTGTACGACCATGTGGAAAAACCTCCTGATACACTACGCCAAGGTGATTAAAGAAAATGGCAAGCAAAACCTTGACATATGATCAAACTTGGTATACTTTATTTTGATCTTGGCTCTTTGGGGCTCTGTCATTGGAATAATGAGACTTTCGTTTTGATATTGTAACCATATACCCTAATTTGTCACCAGTTTTGACTCTTTCAAGTAAATCTGGATCGACGATTCCCCATAACAATTTTGAAAAGCTTGTATCACTTCTAGATATTTTTCTGACTCAGAGTAAAATCGCTTAAAGTCACTGTTAACATTTCAAGTGTTTTCGAGCTTTGAATTCCAATTCATACACAAAATTTACAGCAAATTGTAATACCCATTTTTTTCTATAGCTGGACATTGCTGAACATGTGAAACACTTCTAACTTTCATGCCTCTCACCACCAAATTGAACATACTAAGCAGCTGAAACTGAAACATGTATGTTATTTACTACGAAAAAGCTTCTGTTATATCGAAACATGTCGTTATACTTTTGAAAATGAAGTTTGTGAAGATCAAATCGTTAGGTGTAGTTTGTGGAAATACATACGGTTTGGGTTGTTTTCGGATGTAAATTTGTTATAAATTCAATTTGTGTTCAGTTCAAGTTAGTTTTTATAGAGGTTGTTACTTCGATGTTGAATATGTCAGAAACTCATATTCAGGAACTTATATTTGGGAATGCGATTTGACTTTGTCGTTTTGTGGGATTGCTGCAATCGTTTCTCTCAAGTGAATTTGCCTTTTTTTGCCAACACAACTGAAATGCAAAGAATGTTTCATTGTATTTTAATGATCTAATGTCTGTGTTGAAAATAATTATAATGATTACCTTTTTTTTCTGAAAAAGTGGTGTCACTACAAAGGAATGATCATTGAGCAAGTCTGTATACACTAAAAAAATACATTGTACATTTTTCTACGAGAAGAATATTCTATGGCACACACAAAGTTTTGAACAAATTCAGAGATCTATAGAGATCTAAGCTTACTAGTATCAGGTTTTTTATATTTATCTATTTATTCATATGGGTTATCCCCATTACATTATATACATAGACTGAAGTAATAATACAAATACAATTGATCAACATATGAACTAGGGATAGTTTAATACAAGAACAATAAATTAGTATAGACTAGTAAATGTTACAGTTCTGACCACAGACAACTTTTTATTGTAGGTAACATAATAATAGTAAGCTCCAATTTTCTATCATTTATCCTTTTGAGCATGCGATCAATAGGAGAATGTATGCTATAGTTTGTGGTATAGAAAGGAATGTGAAAGAGAGTTTTCCTCAGAGCTCTAGTAGTCACATATGTACTGTTCAGAGCATATAACAAGACCATTAGTTAATATATAAATATTATATCAGAATTTTCTCTTTTCTTACTCAGTGAACTGAGGTTGAGAGCACTTGGTTCTCTATATAGATGTACATTTTGTAAGCACAAAATCTTAATAATTAATTCTGAACCCTTTTAATGTAGTGCAGTGATTCTCATAAATTGGTGACATATAATCAGTTCAGCATAAGCTTCGATGTTTGACCTGACTCATATTTGAACCTGTTTTGAGTTTATTTTGTATGGGTACCCTTCTTATTTCAGCTACGTATTTTGGATGGGTGATCTGAACTTCCGTCTCCAGGAAGAGTTTGATAAAACACCAGAGGAGATTGAAAGGCTGATAATAAAGAAGGAACTGAAAAAACTGTTCGAGCATGATCAATTGAGAGCAGTTATGAAAAAGGGGGAGGCATTCAGTGAGCTCACAGAACAAGATCCTGACTTTCCACCCACTTTCAAATTTGAAGTTGGGGCTCCATGTTATGATCATAAGTATGATTTTTTTAAAATCAATTGTTTTTGAATAACTTCAGTACATAGTTGTGGATTTGAGATATTTCTGTACTTTTTAGGAGAAGACCTGCTTGGTGTGACAGGATATTGTACTGTGTGAATCGTCATAACTATGAGAATGTTACTCTAAAAGTTGAACAGTTATCATACAAATCCCATCCGTCTTATACGCTAAGTGACCACAGACCTGTGACGGCAGAATTCATGATAAAAGTAAGAATTTGTTTTTCGAAGCTTTTTGTGTGATTGTGGTTTAGGAAAATTCAATAATTGAGGATGTTTATGTTTATTACCATTTATAATTTATTTCTGAGCAAGCGTAATGCAAACTTAAATTTTGTTTCGTTCAATGAAAAGAAGTCCACATCGACTTTATTACCACCAATAGCAACTCTAGACAGGGGAGAATGTTTACCTTAGTTACAACGATGAAAATCTATTGCAAATGTTTCTATATTCCTTGTACTTCTAGAAGGAACATGTAAGCCAATTTGTGCTAGCAATGCAGGGCAGTTGATAAGAGAATTCAATAATTGGAATAAGAGTTTTAAGTCAGTTTCCCTACGAATATCATCTAATGAATGGTCCTTCAAGAGCATTTTTAACTTAAACGCCAAAAAGTTAAGAAATTTGTGTTTTACTCGTTCAATGTTAAGTGCAGGACTTTCATAGGTGGGTAACCAAATGGAACTGAAATAATCTAAGACTGATCTTACCAGGGTGAAATACAGCATTTTTATACATTCAATATTAGAGAAGTCCTTGGAAGTACGACAAATGAAGCCTAGAATTTTTGTTGCTTTGTTTATAATATAATTATAATGTAGGTGAAAGTCCAGTTTTTTATCCATTACTACTCCTAAATCAGTTACAAATTCGACACGTGCTAAAAGTTCTCCTGATATGTAGTAATCATATTTTACAGGTGTAAGTACTCGATAGTATGTCATACATTTACATTTATTCACGTTGAGATTCATATCATTTTGTGAACACCATTCACTAAATCTGTTTAAATCTGTCTGTAATACTAAGCAATCATTTGGTGTTTGAATTGTCTTGAACATTTTTAAATCATCTGCAAAAAGTAAGATGTCAGTATATTTAAAGTTACCTCTGATATCATTAATAAAAATGTTGAAAAGAAACGGTCCTAGAGGGCTTCCTTGTGGAACACCTGATAAAACATTAATTTCGTGAGATATGAATTCCTTGACTTTTACATATTGAGATCTGTTACTAATATAGCTCATCAGCCATTCAAATAGTTTTCCACAAAATCCAATTGCTTTCAATTTCTCACATAAAATTGAATGGTTCACTGTGTCAAATGCTTTGGAAAAGTCAGTATAAATGACATCAAGTTGATGTCATTTATACTGATGTGAAAATATCAGTAGGTTGGAAGTTGTTGATCTGCTTCTGGTAAAGCCATGTTGTTCGATCTGCCTCTGGTAAAGCCATGTTGTTCATCTATAAGAACTTGATTAACTGAATCTTTGATTTCGTCACATACTGTGGACTCTTTGGGTATAGCACTGATAATACTTATTGGGCGATAATTCTGTATATTAGCTTTATCACCAGATTTATGAATAGGTGTTATGAAGCTTGATTTCCAGTATAGAGGAAATATACCTAATTTCAGAGAAGAAGAGAAAAGCGCTAATGATGGTTTTGCAAGTGTAAATCGGCAGTTTCTCAATAAAATATTTGGTATTCCATCCGGTCCAGGACCTTTATTAATGTCTAATTNGTCAACGCCATCGACAACTTTGGTCATAAGCCTTGTGTTTTGGGTCAGCATTGTTATCAACTTCCTGAGCCACCTAGGGATCATCATCGATTAGCGATGTAATGTTGCAGAATTATCCCGTAAATTCTCTTGAGAAAAATATTTGGCCGAGGAAAAAAAAATGATTATTTTGTATGATGTAATTCAGATCCATGTACCTCACTGTTGAAGCTTGAGAAAGCTTTGCTGACCTGATAAGAATTTTTCATTGTCATAACCTGGCAGGTTTCAAAACATTTTTTGGTTTTCGACAAGTCCTAATTTTCAGGCAACTGTGATTTCTCAAAAAATTGATTCAGTTGTTATATAATTCATATACCTTTGAATAGAATAAGCAAAAAACGATTCTTTTATTGATAACTGGAGAAATCAGGAAACTTACAGTTTCCCAATCATTTCTTATGTATAGCTCTAGCAGTTCATTGAAAATGATCAAAACCAGCATTATCTGGTGACTGGCATAAGGCCAAAGTGTTAACTTGATATCGATTCTATTTATGAATAAAAAGTATACATTTTTCTGCAGTCCGTTATAAAAAATTAAAAAACATTCCACTATGAAATTTACAGAACATAAAAATTTACACGGTCATCAAACAAAAAAATTCGAATCTGCATTTTTCAGAAAATCTATATTTTACAAAGAAATAATTACAATAGAAATAGAAATAGATTTATTTGAAATAGATATCCTAATATACATAAATATTATACAAATATATCAGTTATTAAACAAAATACAAAAACACTGAAATATATAAGACCTATATATTAGAATATAGTGTGTAAAACATAGCAGTGGTTAATGATGAAGAGATTAATGGAGAGAAAAATGATGAACAACTCATTTGGAATAATATTGTGAACGTGTAGAATAGAATTTATTCATCATTAAAAACATTACACACATAATATATAACATTTTATCAGACTAGTCAAAACAGTTGAATATAGTTGATTTAATAATGTATATTGAGATAAGGAACGTTTGAAGAGTTGGAGGGTGTTACTTTGTTTAATTTCATTGGGAAGCTTGTGTCCAAAGCTGTGTCTAAATGTTATAGTCTAAATGCTGTGTCCCTCTTATTAATCATTCACCCATAACTAATCCCAACAAATTCATTACCTAAACTATTTACCTTTCTAGGAACAACTCATAATATTGGAGAATAATGAATACAATTTTTATCTGAGCCATCATTTCACTTACTTTCAAGATGTATCCTAATTACCAATTTCCTCATTGCAAACTGAGTTCAATCAAGGAGAACAAATCAAATCTAATTGATCATTGAGCAATAATCTCAAATTTCAAATCTATTGATTCCTAAACATTTCGAAGGCTTCAGAAGGCTTCCAAATGCAATACATCATAATTGTAATTCAACTCGCGACCCTCTGTCAAAAGATGGTTCTCATTTGTTGAATTGATCTTCCCATTCAAAAAAAGTACTTCTATGCTATTTCATTCTTTTGTAAAAAAAAATCCGGTTTGTCCGATACAAAGTTTTGGACCGCAAGTCAACTTGTATACTTCCGATCTATCAGACACCGGAGTTTTATCTTTTATTGTTTTCAATGAATTGACTCAAATTATTATTATTACTCAATTCACTCAATTTATTATTATGTGACTAAATTCATTACAAACAATAAGCTTCAGTGTCCAGTGTCTAATAGATCGGGAGCATACAAGTTGACTTGTGGTTCTTATGCAAAATTTCATTTTGGCCATACGGGGAGAACATTTTCCCGACGTATAAAAGAGCATAGAAGTAGTTACTTGAAAAACCGAACCATTTTTCGACAGAGGGACACGAGTTCAATCACGATTATGAAGTATTTATTCGATATTTTGTTAGCAATGAAGAAAGTAATACAAATCATGAAATTATGAAACAACAAAAATTAATTGGCGCCCCGGGGCGATTTCATTGATTCCAGTGGTGCATTTGCTTTTTCAGCTGCAGGAAAACCCAGAAAAACCTGCAGCACCACATCATCTGAAGATCTTGATCTGCCAATGTCTTCTCTTTTATAAAACAAAATGTAGGGTGTCCCCAGCGGCTCCAATAAGTATTGCATTTGGAAGAAAGATGTTCAAATCCCAACTTTTTGAAATGTTTAGAAATCAGTAGTTTAAAAAATTAAATATTATTGCTCAATAATCAAATAAATTTGAATTCAGTTTGCAAAGAGGAAATTGGTAGTTAGGATAGATCTTGAAAATAGGTAAAATGATGACACAGATAAATATTGTATTCATTATTCTACAGTTTTATGAGTTTTTCTAGAAAGGAAAATAATTTAGGTAATGAATTTATCATGTAGAAATTTATCATGGAGTAACAGTCATAACGATTCAAATGACTATAAAAGCACGTCATAGAATTTTTTAAACAGTGTTGTGACGCCCGAAGATGTTATTGTATTGCGAAACACCTGTCACTGTTTCGTAAACTTTCAAGTGGAATTCTCACATCAAAGTGTGTGTTTTTAATACGGTACAAAAAAATATTAGTTTTGTGCTGAGAATCACTTTTTAGTTGTTTCGAATCAGTTATAGAGTAGGCTATTGCAAATGTACCACAAGGTATAACTTCCAGAGAAAGAACTTTTTGCCAAAATTTAAAACAAGTCAAGTTTATGTTTGTAAGGGGGACAAGTTTTGATCTAAAAATCATTGCAAAACGGACACTGTCATCCCCAAATTCTCAAAAATAGCTTTTGTTCCCTTATCCACTACTAATTTGCTTTGGAGCTTTGAAATGTCGACAATATTTAAATTGAAAGGGTTATATTTTTAGGAGTGATCAACTTTTTGGAAAGAAAGTTTCTGGCTTCTTACTACTCCATCTTGTTACAAAAAATGTGAGAATCTTTCAAAGAAAGGAAGGAAACAATCAATTTCAAAAGAAGTAACTCTACACATACAGCTACCGGACTGAGTCATAGCCAGTGGGAGAAATCGTATCTGTGTAAAGTTTAAGTCGGTGTATGAAAAATAAAGTATTGGGAAATTTAACGTTTACGGCTCGAATAATCTAACGGACTTATAACAGATTTTTACATATCTACTGCA